ATCAATTAGTATCATACCTGTTACTTTCAAAAGAACTAAACTAGCTGTTGTTCAAGAAAGGATGATATACAATAGTACTGTAAAAAGATATATTAACACCGTAAAAAATAGGTGAAACAACTTTAAGCTTACTAACGTTTCGAAAGACGCAGCTCACATGATTTATAAATAACTTAGATACTACGCGTGATTCATATTTCTGTTTGTGTACCTGTAATAAAAGCCGTTTGCTTAAAAACCTTTCGCTTCTCTGTACTTCCTCCCCATACTGTATACAAGTTGTAAATTGCAGTGCAAGAAGTGGAGCAGAGTACGGCGACCCGAAACCGACCGCCGCCATATTATTAATACACAGGGAACCCATTTGCACACAGCCGGTCTATCTAATAACAGAGGGCGGGTAATCTTCGAGTTACGCGTTTCGAGTTACGCGCTTCGAGTTACGCGCTTCGAGTTACGCGCTCGACCACGCCCACATTTGCCTCGGCCACGCCCAGCGCATAACTCGATGCAACTAACATACATTAGTTTCTTTGAGTTACGCGGCTAGCGCGTAACTCGATGCAACCAATGCGTATGTTAGTTGCATCGAGTTACGCGCTTTTAAATGAAAATCAATTTAAATGAACTGCAGAATCACGCCATTTCTTCACAAAGTCACTCAACAATGTTTTTTGAATATATTTCTATAATTGGAGGTGACAGAACAAAAAGGAAAACATAAATGACTTTTCTTCGGACGTTTGTATCATRATGCATGACTATCAATGGAGATCAATGTGGGTTGTGTACTAACATTGAATTAATGATACGTCGAAAGTCCCTCGTTAATGGGTTAATTGAGGACGGATACAGAATTTAGCAAATAAAAATTAACTTGCATTGTGAAGATAAAGAGAAGCCATTTCTGTTAGTAGATTTAAAAAAGACCTACATATTGGTGTACGTGATATTCCAATTTATCTTTCTATGAAAGGTCGAATGATAGACGACCCTTACATCATAAAAGTATCTATTTCATCAATGTGAACGCAATAAGTTGTTGTGAATAGTGTATTGAAAATAACTGACTGTGAAATATTAGCTAAGCTATGACATATTTACCTATTTTTGTACTCACAAAAATACTTTTTTATAGCGGAGATACAAGCGATTTTATGGTCGGC